AGGTTTATATATATATATACTGTATATATATATATATATATATATATATATATATATATATATATATATATACTGCACTAAAGACATTTTTCAATCTTTATGCATTTTGACATATATTTATTAAAAATATAATAATATATTTATTAATCTGTTAAACTTGCTGCTCTCTACAATGTTGGTGACATTTAGTCCACATTCATTTACAATGTAGAACACTAGAATCTCTGCAGATGCTCTTCCAGCATTTCCAGGACCAGCAAACCTCAGTCAGCATCTAAAATCAGACCATGCTGCTGTGGACAGTTTTAATGCTCCTTTGCACCGGTTGATTTATGATGCCTACTGTGCAATATGATCTCAACAAATGATTAGTCCCTAGATTAGGGACAACGATGTTAGTTATTTCATGCAATTAACTGATGCATATGATGATATGCAGATATTATGTCAGGAAACAGATGTGGTTTAAGCGTGTTAGGTGTGTTAAGAGACAATAGAGTGCTGCAATCTCGTGTAGAGCTGCAGTATCCATCAGCGCGCGCCTACACACTTCACTGCGTTACAGCTAGACACTCACGTGCGCTTCATCACATTACATCACACACACACACATAGTTCACAAAAAGTCATGGCAAAGTAGTGTATAGTTTTGCATATTTGACACAGCCAATGCATAAGTGCATACAAAAATATACGAATATATACTAATAGGCCTATAGGCCTATGGGTTATTTGAAAATATTTAGGTAGATACTGTAACCCAAATACGGGTTCAAAAAATTAGAAGCAAATAATAATAATAAATAAATAAAAAAAATAAAAAAGCTAAAAACAGCTGAAAGTAAGATCTGCCTACATTTAATAACAAAATGTTGAAGCTCTTACGGTGTAAACGTTTAATTTGATGTGTTTTTGGATGTAAGGAAATCACACTCAGACCTTCCATGCATGTGCCATGAGCAAAGGTGCAAGCTCAAGGATTTTTTTTTTTTTTTTTTGCAACAAAATCATTGTTTCACTCATTTATGTTATGCGTGTTTTAAAAGATGCCAGCTATATATGAGATGCCGCCTTACCGTCGGAAGCCTGCGCGCTGTGTAATAAAAGTAGGAATATTGCTAAAGATGAGAGTTTAGTGCCCCGCATCCCTCCAGACGTATGTGTGCTCGAGCATCTTCTCCTCCTCTCTCCGGAGCGCAGGATGCTGCAGCTTAATCTATGCAAATCTCTCCAGATTCCCTCTACACGACCAGCCATTTGTGTTCGCAGAGGAGGTGGCCCGGTGCCGGTACTGGACCAGACATCTGCTCAAATCCGTGAGTCAGTGGGATGTGCGCTGGTCACGCCGCTCCAAGTGTCAGAGGAGAGCTGCAATCGTGAAAATGCCCATAGTCCACTATCACTGCGACACAGGGGAAGCGAGAGGGAGCTGCATTTTTGAATGGTTTATCTATGGCTCACAGCTCCTTCTTACCGCCCATAATGTGATCGGATGTTGGAAGGAATGCATGTCATTCTTTGTCTGTTGTTCAGTGAAGCTGTCTTATGAAAAAGTGCTCGCATGCAGGGAAGCGGTAGTTTTGTGCCATGTGCATGCTCTAGTGGTCAATATAGAATATTACTGTTAGACTGATTTATAATCCACCAGTTTCTAATAAAAACAAACAAAAAATATTCTGCAAACACTTTGTTTCAGTTCTGGATGCTGACTGGTTGCCTAAGCACTTTTAGCTGTCTCAAGTGCCTATAATTGCTTTTAAAAACGGTTATGGAATAACAAAAATATTAAGAATACACACTTTAATTAAATAGTTTATATTAAGGAAATTCATTATCTGTTCTTCTCACAACAGAAGATATGATCTCTGACAACAAATGTGCAATGCAACAAAATTAGGGATCCTATGGGTGCTGTTGTGAGCAGGGGCCTCATTTATAAAATGTGCGTACGCGCAGATTTGATCTTACGCTACGCTAAAATCCACGTCAACGTTAATATTTATAAAACGGTCTTTGACGTGGAAAAGTACTTACCGCCACGTCAGGGTCTGAGCAGGTGTAGCCTATAGCCTACGTTCTTTTCCTTGTGGCAAGGTCGGAGTGCAGCTATTTGAACATTAAGCTGCAATAATAATAAAAGCGGTGTAGCCTACGTAAAAGCAGCACAGAATTCATCATAAACAACAAAGATGCAGTGTAAGAGATTGATTGTTCAGTGTAGTCAGATTTTTTATTAGGCCTAACGGGAGTTTTTGCGAGATTAAACTGACCTTTTTAGTAGCCTAATGTTGAGAGTTCTTTACTCGCTTTCTGTACACAGTTTAGCCTATTCCATGTTTTTTTTTTTTTTACAAGAGAACTTGCGAAGTCTTGTTTTGTCTGTGTAGCCTAATAGGCCTATGTCGTGCAATAACGGTTTTAATATATTCTATTCATTGTTAACTGTTTTTACTTATAACATCTGCTGCTTTGCTTCTGTGAAAATGAATAGAGACATCAGCCTTAAACTATGTTTTTGTCATTTACATATATATACACATATATTATATGTTTGTGTCAGTACATTAATGGCACATTTGAGCAGCATTAGCTAGTAAACTGCAAATATAAAGAAATGCCAAATCACATGCAGTTTTTTTTTCAGATCGGAGACCATAATCGTGTAATAATTTATTTTATTATGATATGAAACGTCTAACATTTTCTTTCAATAATGTTTTTTAAAGTTTTGCAATACTTTTGTGAAACTAAACTTATTAGTTGTCATAGCAAGTGATTTTAATAGTAGGATGGCTCACTTTTTATAAGATGACTTACTTCGTAATTTGTAGTTTATTCTTACTTTTACCTAATTGTTTTATAATTACTACTAGCCTACTACTACTACTACTATTATTATTATTATTATTTCTGTTGTTTCTAGAAGTAGTAATTTTGATAATAGTCAATAGAAAAAATATAACTATAAAAAATATATTGTTTGTCCACAGACTAATTACACGACTAAAGTCTCAAATCCAAAGAGATATTCTTTATAAAAGTTAAGAGTCAACCACGCCTACCTAAAACGACTCATTCTAACACACCCCCACATGTCTACATCACGATTTGGGAAGATTTGCATAAAGCCGCCCAAATGTTCACGCAAAGAAAGAAGGTGTAACTTTTATTCTCGCTGTAGTATTGTTGTTGCGGCCGCCATGTCGTGAAGACGCTGTGTGTTTCGTTGTGAAAGTGAAACTACTTTGTTTGGCCTTACAAAAGAGGACGATATCCGCTTCGTCATGCCTAGAGCTGATCCGTGCTGGTCGCTGAGGAAATACATCAACTTTGTGCTGTGGATCGCCGGATCGGTTTTCACCATGGACGAAGCGGAGTCCAGCCCGGGGTCGTCACATGTGGTTGCCGCAAGCCCGCCGGCCTCCGCTCACTCAAGCCTGCCGTGTGTGATGTTGTGTGTTTCAACCACATTTTGCTATAAGTTTGATTGCATCATAATCTGGAAGAGAGGCGTACGCACGTGTTTTTGTGCACACGTTCGTTTTCTCTGAATCGCACTTACGCACTTTTGAGAAATTATCTTAGAGCAAATTTAGGATGGTTAATACGCAACATTTTATAAATGAGGCCCCAGGTGTTTTGTAATAGCAGTTTTATTTTAACACGGCTGAAACGTTGTATTGAATCAGGTACCAGAATGTTAAATATATTTTATAAAAATGTTCTTCTTTTATACACTGCTGGCCAAAAGTTCCACCTCCATCTTTACTTCTCACTGGCAGCGTTGCATCAGGTTGGTGTTGAGCTTCCGAGTCCAGCCCTGTACTGACGGAACGGAAAGGAATTTCCATACAAACAAATACTGCTCAAGCTGCATGGCATGGCCAACCATCTGCATAGATACAGTAGCTGCTCACTTTAGCTCGAAGTCTTTCACTACAGTCATAGGGACTTCGCAGATGAGCAGGGGCAGAGGATTCTTGGGAGCCAAGACCACAGCACAGTTCACAGCCACCTCACCAGATCGTCTGTAGTGGCCTTGATGGAGTCTGTGTTCTTCAGGCTGCAGCTGAAGACCTTCCCAAGACTCCTTACTGTTTTGTCGGTGACAGACGAGATCAGGTCTTCTCCAAACCTAAAGCAGAATTTTGGGGGTTTAAAACTCCTATGCGCCCATGACATGAGTTTCTCTAACCCTTGGAGGCTCTGAGCACTGTTGCTGTTGTCACTATGAGGTCCAAGGCGGCTCTTATAGGAGGCTGCCTCACTCCAGACTTGCTGAGAGGGCCTCTGCACTCCGTCTTTGCTGACTTGACCTGCATGTTCATTGCCAGCACGAAGAGGGTCACTGAGATGGTGCACCCTACTTCCATTTTAATATATTTTAATATGTAATATATTCCTGTCATGGTAAAGCTGAATTTTCAACAGCCATTATTCCAGTCTTCAGATCCTTCAGAAATCATTCTAATATGCTGATCTGGTACTCCGTTACGGTTTTACTGTATTTTTGATGGTCTGGTGAGCATGAGACTTTTCAAAAACATTAAAACATATCTTAATTTCAAACTTTTGACATGTAGTGTATTGAAACCGTTATGAAATTGCTTTATACAACAGTTAAACACATGTAGTTAATATTGAGTATTGACTCTGTGAATACTTGTGGCCACCTACTGTAACAACGTAAATTAAAGGGTCACTGATAGATCGCTAACAGTATTCAATTATTTATTGACTGATTGATTGATTTGTGTATTATTGTGAATATAGTCACATAACAAAGGTGTACATAGGAGTTACAATATTATTACAGTAAGTTACATTATTTTTTGAAAACTTCCTATAGTGCAGTGGGGCACTTTGTTTAAATAAATAGACAAATAAGGAATGTATTGGCTAAAAGATGATTATGGTGATGAAAAAAACATATTTGAAACATCTAATGTTATGTACTGCAAAGAAGTTAGATACCTGCCATGTTTTGTTTCTAAAAGAAGGGTTGCAACATTAGATTTTTTCTGTTTTCTCTTTATTTTTCTTTTGTATGCAAAGTGAATCTTGACAATACAACACCATGAATTCGTATTCACTCACCAAAAGTCACCTGGAAATTCTGTTTAATGTGACTGAGAAGGCTTGATCACATCTTTATTCACTGAGAACTAGAGAGGAAACATCAATTACACTCTGTAAAGACATTATATCCAAAGGGTTACATTTCCCCAGTCCTCATACTGTTAAATATTGCACAGTGCAAGTGCTACATGACAGACTAGTGTAGCATCAAATCATAAAAGAAAAAAATTTAAAATTCAAAAAAGCCACAAAAGTCTACAAATATCAAACCAGTGAATAACAGTTTCATTTAATAAACTCTTAATTAACCAAGTAATTGAAACATGGAATCCACAACTTGCAGTGTGAAACAACTTCTTTGACAGATTGTAAAATATGCTAGAAACTATGGAACTTGTATACACAGATAAAAAACAAAAAAAACAAACAACAAAAAAAAAACACATATTGGGAAGTCATTTTCAGGTTGAATGGTAAATAATTTAGGTAAAATAATTCAGAAAAATGTTGCCAATACATTACTTCCATAATAATAATAATATAATGCATAAAAACATTGAATGTCATTACTGTGGCAATAATGTTTATTGAATGCTGTTAATAGAAAAGAGTTCAACATAAATCATCCATGTCCTTTCGAATTTGTTTAAATATGAACATACAATAAATATTGAAAGTGTTGAATATAGTTTTTTCTATATTGTCATTGGATGTATTCAGGCTAAATGCTGGTGGATGCCATTTCACAGGGATCGAAACATGCACAGGGTGCAATACATTACATTCTTTATGCAGACTGAAATTAGAATATCAAAAAAATAAAATTAGCTGGTTAAGATTAACTAGACATATATTAGTGATTAATAACTCAAATCAAGAACATCTATAATTTTTTTAAAACATGTATATAACCATTTCGATCCCTGGAATGGAAAGTTATACTGTTTGTGCCATTTCACAGGGATCGAAACATGCACAGGGTGCAATACATTACATTCTTTATGCAGACTGAAATTAGAATATCAAAAAAATAAAATTAGCTGGTTAAGATTAACTAGACATATATTAGTGATTAATAACTCAAATTAAGAACATCTATAATTTTTTTAAAACATGTATATAACCATTTCGATCCCTGGAATGGGAAGTTATACTGTTTGTTGTTTCTTATATTTGGTCTGGTCAGTGGGTGAGCTGAATACTTGTTTTTGCAAAGTGAATGTGTCATTCCCAATACCATAATCAAGGCACACACAGTGTTGCTTACACTGCTCACAAAGAGAGAGAGAGAGAGAAAACATGACCATGACCAAACATGAATATAACACATCAGCTGACATCAGTGATAATTTGTTACAAACATGTTCTCAATTTTCAAATGACAAACATGAATAAAATCAATTAATTTGGAGACTAATTTATTTGAATCACACCACTGTATATCAAAGCATGGCCATGTGGTTACTGCACACTATACTTTTAGTAAGTGCTCAGTGGCATGAGGTTATGGGGTTGATTATCATATTAACCGAGAAAAAAAAACAACTTAAAAATACAGATGTTTGTATTTCTGAAACACTGCAGAATAACTGTTCATTAGGATAAAGTTAAATCAATCCTGCAAGTTATTACAAGTCAAAAACAGATAAACAGGTAAACATACAAAAATTAAGTTACACAAATACATCCATTAATATGCAGTGATGAGTCAAAACGGTTATGAAGATACAATACTGATTTGAAAAAAAAGAAAAGAAAAACAATTCTAAATGTCCAGTATCAGCAGTACAGTAGTTACAATGACACTCCAAACACTGAAGCAAAAAAATTACTCAAAATCAAAATCCACTTCTAGTTTAGGCAATCAGAGAGACCCATACAAATAAACGAATGCAGATATGAACTAGTCTAATCTAATTTCACAGCTATCTGAAGTGGCAATCAATATATAGCAGCTTGTCTATGATACATTCAAGATAGATGATACGACTTATTACTTGTTCAAAAAGCTAAACATAACCTCAGCCATTTTTTTTAATACAATTTTTGAAATTTACCCCATGACTATAATTACTACAGTATACGTGAGGTCTATGCAGAAAGAGTAGCTACCTTGCTTAGAGAAATGGCTCTGTTCCAAAGCCTAACGAGCTGCCTTGCTGTCTACTGCCTTCATACTCAGCTGATATAGAACATTATAGTCATTCCCGCAGGTTTCGCGCTTATACCAAACATGCCCGCACCACCACTGATCTATATTAGTGGAGCGCACAATCCGTGCTGTGAATCTCAGAGAGCTTTTGCATCAGGAGTGTAACTACAATGCCTTGAAATAGCGCCTGCTTAGGCAGATCACTAGGTTTGGAACAGAGCCTTCAAATTACAGTCTTTGGTGATGCACAAGCAACTTCATTTGAGAGGCAAAAACACACAAACCAAGCAGAACAAACTGAAAACAAAAACGCCCACTGCATATATATATATATATATATAAATATATATAAAAATGCACACACAATATATTTAACTCTCCCTGACGGAATGTATAAAATGCAGTTGACACCAACAAGCTTTCAACATATGATGATATAATTAAGAACAAAATCAATTCACACATGCATAAATGAGAATTGCACACCTTAACGCATGTTGTGTATATTGGGTGTTAATTACATTACATTACATACACAGTATATTGGGTCCGTGGATAAACTCTTAAAGGGACCGCAGTCCAATATTTCTGCTGCTGTCTGTCATGTTAATCAAAGAACAAAAGACAAAGAAAATCATTTTCTGCTCATAATCATTCTCTGCTGTTTATAACTTTAATGGTAAGCATTAATCTGTATTTAATTTTTACAATGAAGACTACAGAAATTAATAAAATATAAAGTAACACTGGATGTGTTACTTTACATTTGATTAAATCAGAATCAACAAAAATCGGTATCGGCAGATCACACTAACGAAAAATCGGAAATCGGAATCGGCCAAGAAAATTGCAATCGGTGCATCTCTACAAATTTTCCAATGTTAAAGACGCGGAGGATGATATCTTTCCATTTAAGTGAATCTCAGAGAGCTTTTGCATCAGGAGTGTAACTACAATGCCTTGAAATAGCGCCTGCTTAGGCAGATCACTAGGTTTGGAACAGAGCCTTCAAATTACAGTCTTTGGTGATGCACAAGCAACTTCATTTGAGAGGCAAAAACACACAAACCAAGCAGAACAAACTGAAAACAAAAACGCCCACTGCATATATATATATATATATATAAATATATATAAAAATGCACACACAATATATTTAACTCTCCCTGACGGAATGTATAAAATGCAGTTGACACCAACAAGCTTTCAACATATGATGATATAATTAAGAACAAAATCAATTCACACATGCATAAATGAGAATTGCACACCTTAAACACACCGTGTCAAGCTTCAGCACAAAAAAAACTAGCTCTATTAAGATATATACTCATGTGCGTCTATACATCAAATACTGCATGGTCTGCTCAGGCTAAGATGAATCCATGACCCTGAATCAAAGACCGATATTTGCATTTGTGTCTTCATCTAGTCGAAGCCATGCCCACCACAGCAAACACAAACACACGCAAACCCAAAGAACTAAAAACACAGCCAAAAAAGAAAAACAAACTATATAGATTGTATTGCAGTTTAACTAAACAGTACAAATACTGTTAGTTTTGTAGATTTTTCTGAATAGAAATTCATTGTATTCTCTATACATCTAGTGAATTTAAGATAACAAAAAAATTAACAACTAAGAACAAATACAACAGCAAGCATTTGCAACAGCAAAAGCATGCCGTCTTCCGATGAAGTAACGCAAAATGCAACTCACTACATCTCAGATGGATCCAAAAATAAGCACTGCGGTTTGTGCAATGCAGTACACTGATGCCTATCTATGCATGAAATAATACACCAGTGTGTAATACATATACACACGCTCACACAAAGAATGCACGGACTGATTTGAATTGCAAGTGTTGCAGTCCAGGACACGTACGCACACAAACACATTGTATATACACACTGAGAGATAGTGTAGTAGAACACAAACGACTGCCGATATATAAGGCACTATGGCTGGGGACAACAATGCAGCAAGCCTCTAGACACATCAAGAGCCCCTATAGGCTTCTCTCTGATCAACATCATGCAACACATGCAGCATGTGACGAACGACTCTCCATTCCAAATGACACAAAAGACGCAGAGAAAAGTACAAATACTTGTAACGCAAGAAAACACGGCAAGTGGACATATTTTATGTTGTGAACAACATATAGGGCTGCCTTTACAAACAAATGTGTGTTGTATACAAGGTAAAGGCAATGTATAAAAATAAGTTGACCATCACATGATTTTGGACACCATCCGTTGTTGATATTCATTAGAGGAGCACTCAAATCTGAAGATCTGAAAATCTGATAAGGTGATGTGTATCAAATGTGCAAAAAAAGGTTTTTCTTATTCATCCAATCGCTTGCTTCTCAACCGTGCGCGTTCTTTACCTACTTGCTAAAGACTTTCCAAATGTTTCCTCTTTTAAAGCTCTTTTTAATTGCACTCGATCAAGTCTACGTGATTCAGAGAAACTGCTTCCTTTCTCTCTTGTGCCATGGCTTTGGGTGCGGGAACCAGGTGGTTTGTGGTTTCTACAGTGAGCCTGGCGTTACGTGTCCGTGTTGGTGGCCCTCCAGAGGGTTGCAGAGCGAGTCTCAGACATACGGGTACTGGTGTAGTTTGGTGGGACTGAGGGGGAAGCCTGCGTATGCAGGCGATGCGATGAAGGAGTGTGGGGGGAACAGAGGCTTGAATTGGCCTTGAGGGTGGAGGGTTGGAGAGGGCAAGAGGCGGTTGAGCCCCACAGTGACCTGGTGCACAAGGTGTCCCACCGGATGAGTGAGGCCATAAGCCGGCTGAAAGACGTGATTCCTTGTGGTCCCAGGTGAAGCCAAGAGGTGGGCCATTGGGGCATTTGTCACCAGGGGGCCTGAAGGGGGGTAGGACAGTAAAGTCGGCTGGGTGTGAGGGTGGATGCCCAAGTGCGATTGAGGAGGGTGGGCTGTGTGGGTGGGACTTCCGTGAGGCAGCGTGAAGGTGTGGCCATGAACAGTGGGTGGGATGAACGCTTGAGGCCGGCGGTGGCTGTAGTTGCCGTTCCACTTCTGGTGGGACGAGCCATAATGCTGGACCTAGAGCACAAACCAATCAGTGGCAATCAGCCAATAATGATTTTTATATAGCCGAGAACCAAAAAATAGCCCACCATATTTAGTTTTTATAAATATTGAAATTCTAATTTGTGACCCTGGCCCACAAAACCAGTCATAAGGGTAAATTTTTTGAAATTGAGATTTCTACATTTGAAAGCTGAATAAATAAGCTTTCCATTGATGTATGGGTTTTGTTAGGATAGGACAATATTTGGCCGAGATACAACTTACAAGAAAATCGCCTTTAAAGTTGTCCAAATGAAGTTCTTAGCAATGCATATAGCTAATCAAAAATTAAGTTTTGATATATTTACGGTAGGAAATTTACAAAATATCTTCATGGAACATGATCTTTACTTAATATAATAATTACTTAAAACAATGTTTTTTTGCTATTGCTAAAAATATACCCAAGCGACTAAAGACTGGTTTTGTGGTCCAGGGTCACATTTGTCTAAATAAATGTAAAAATAAAACTAAAATTATTTAAAAAATGTACAATATAAAAAGGGTATTAATTTTGAGATTTGCTAAAGATTACGTTTAATCATTTTATTAAATGATTTTATATGTCATTTAATTGTTTTTCTTTTCACATTGTTTACATTGCTTCTACTTAAATGTTGTGGTAAAATATGTTGCAAGATTCATGCTCACTGTGAAAATGCATCAATAATTTTTGAACGCTGAGTTGATTCACACATCTCAGCTTCTTTTTATTTATTTACTTTTTAATATACCTATTATTTGCATTAGTATGTTGTATTAGTAGTATCTTAATATCTAGCTGACTATCCAACAACATGGAACTGACCTGTCCAAAGGGGAGCTGCTGTTGAGAGGGCTGCAGGGGCGGGAAAGCCTGTGCTGTCTTCTGTTGGCGATTCACCAATAACGTTGAGTAGGGCGGCTGTCTGGTGTAACTACTGCGGCCTTTGGGTGGGCATGATGGCTCTATAAGTACAATGGAGGAAAGAGCAGGCAAACTTAGGCAACACTCCTTGGAAGCCTCATGGAATTGTGCTATATTAGTGCATTAGCTTGTAGTAAACCCGTCATTTGAAAATAGAAGTTGAATTTGAAATTAAACTAATTCATATTTAAATACATTTAAAGTTTAAGATTATAATAGCACGACCTGGCCTTTAAATAAGATGCAAGGTGCAATTTCATCTTTGGACATGCAAATTCTCAATCCTGAAAATATACATCAGTATTTCTCAAACACAGGGAATCCAAAAAATAAAAAATAAAAGTGTCACTAGTGTTGTTAACTGTCACTATTTAAAAACGTGAGACCAATTGCTTTTTAAGGGAAGATGTTTCAGAACAGCGTTTCTATAACCGGTTTGCTTAAAATTAAAGCGGTTTTCAATGAAATAAATTTGATTTTTTTTGCAATGCATTAACACAAATCATGCTCCATCTCCAGTTCACAAAGAACTGACAAACATCGTGAACCAACAAATGTGCTCTGGTCCAAACGTTTCATTGCAAATGTCGACTGCTGTCCATGACGATTCTTTATGTGTAGTGCCTCTGTTCTTATTTTGACAAGCCTCGCCGATTCTGGTGGATTTATGGAGGACTTCTGGAGGAGTGGTGAGATTTCAGCAATATCAGTCAAGTGTGACATCCCCTACCATTATCAGGGTGCTTAAAATTGGTAAATGTCTCATTTTGTCACTTCCATTGTGAGTGCGCTATGGAAACATGCTGTTTCAAACTAGAGCTGTTTGTATCCCTTGTGGACATTTGAACTTGACTTTTTCAGTCAGGCTTTTTCACATTTGCATTTGTCTTCAAATAATAAAATTTTTTTCATACAACATGAATTTTAACTGGGATTGTCAGTGATGTATTTTGATAGGGCTGATGAGATTTGTTACCTGTGCGGCCCATCGGCTCATTATTCTGAACCCGCATGGGCGGCACCACCATGGTGCGGACGGGCAGTTTGGTAGACTCAACCTCTGTAGTTCCATTGGCTTTGCAGTTCTG